CCGAGCTGGTCGGCAAGATCTTTCACCTCTTGTGCAAGCTGCTTGTTCTCGCGGCGCACGCTTTCAAGGTGCTCCGCAAGCTCGTCCTGGGCGGTCTTGGCCTGCAAGAAGAGAACACCTTTTCAGAGGTCGATTGAAGTCTTGAGTGAGCTCAACATACTCGGAAGAGATCAGTGGAGAGGTTGCGGTTGTCGCGTTGAGCAGCATCGAGTTCAGCAGCGAGATCGTCGTGCTTCTTTCTCCATTCATCGATGATCTTGTCGAAGCCTGCAAAGAACGGATTTAGCGACGATTTGCTTAAAATTAGTTTTTAAATGTTCAAAAATGCCATGTCACCAACCCTTCTGCTTCTTCTCGAGGGCGGCAGCGTAGGCGGCAGCGCGCTCAACATCGACCTGAATTTCGGTGGCTTTCAGAGGTTCATGCTCCATGTTTTTTGATTGTTTGTTCTAGCGGATGTTACCTGAGCATCATCGAGATCTTGCATAAGCTTGTGACGAGTCTTCTCAAGAGATCCGATCTTGGCGAACGCCATTTCGTTGGCGTCGGTGAGTTCTTGCACTTTGCCTTGCAGCTTGCGCCTAAAACGCCCTCTTTAAGCTCTGTTTCTGCGGCACACAAAGGCCAAGGGTAGCTTACTTTGCCTCCTCGATTTCATCGAGCTTGGCGAGGCCTTCGCTTTCGAATCGTGCTTTCCATTGTTGGATTTCGGCATTTTGCTTGCTGATTTGTCGGAGCAGTTCGGCCTAAAATGGTAATAGGTGATCGGTATTCCACTATGCGAATGTCTTGTTCTCCCCTACCTTGGCTTCTGATTCGCTGTCGAGCTGGTCACGAAGACTGTCGTTCTCATGCTCGAAGTTCTTGACCTGTGCAGCCAAAGCTTGGCGTTCGCTGAAAAACCATCATTGATTATCTGCTCACATTCTACTTTTGGGGACCAATTCAGGACGTGGTTCTCTAAATGGCGGGGCTTTTTACCGAGCTTCCTCATCGTAGCTTCGCTTCGTCTCCTCGAGTTGGCTAGTCAATTGTGCCTTGAGGCGGTGAAGGCTGTTCAGCTGGTTCTCCATGTCCTCCAATTGACGTCCAAGGTCACCATTTTCGTTGTGGAGTCGGTTCTGAAAGACCATATTTTGTCCATTCACTCCAACTTACTTCCCCTTCAAAGGGTGAGGTTTCTCATTTACCTTGAGGGCAGCGAAATCGTTGAGTTGTCGTGATTGCTCGTCAGCCTTCGTTTGAGCCTCAGCATATTGAACTTCGACGACTTTGAGCTGCTTCTCGATGTCTTGGCGTGTTCGCACCTAAATGTCGTCGCTTGCGTTTTGTAGGCCTTCCCAAGCTATCACTCCTCTCTCACCTCGCTATCTACTGATGCAGAGACTTCCTCCAACTCTCGTTGCAATTGAGCCTTCTCCTTGTCAGCCTTAACTTTGAGCTTCTGCAGTTGCTCAAGTTGATCGGTCAGCTCGGCAACAGCATCGTGGTGCTTCTTGCGGAGGGAGGCCAAGGCGGTTTCGTGGTTGAGGTTGGATTCCTAAATAAGTGATATAGTGGCAATCAAGTGTCCCCAATCTACAGCACCGTACCTCCTGGTCACGGCGCAGTTTAGCCAATTCAGCTTCTCGCTTCTTGTTGGCTTCAAGTTGAGCAGCAGTGGCGCCACCTTGTTCCTCGAGTCGCTCACTGATTTCTTCAAGCTCGCGTTGCAGCTCTGAGCGAGAGCGGTCGGCCTGAAATTGTCAAGGGTTAATGGGCAGTCCAGTGCACTAGCAGGAGTTTCCCACCTTAGCTCGGCTCTGTCGCTCGTTCTCGAGCTCCTCTTCGAGTTCTGCGATGCGGGCTTGCAGCTCCTTAATTTGTCTCTGCAGCTTGGCAACAAGGGATTGTTCCTCCTCCAAGCGAGTTGAAAGCTGGTGAAGCTCGGCTTCCTTCTTCTTCAGGTTCTGCTCAACATCGTGCTTCTGCTTGGTGATTTCATCGATGTTCTCCTGGCAACCTTGAGCTCTCCTTCAACCTTTCGCTTGGACCTGAATAATAGAATTTTTAAACTGCTCACACTGCGGACCGGCTATTTCTAGAACAATTCCTACTTCTCGAGGTCTTGGCGGGCTCGCTTTTCGCGGTCCATCGAATCCTCAAGGTCATCCAGCTGTTGTTCGAGCTTGGCTCGGACCTTCTCCATGTGGTTGACGCGATCCTCTTCGGCTTGGAGATCTTCCATAAGTTTGCGGTTCACCTACAGTATCGTGCATATGTATTGATCAGGGATTACATGCGACCAGGTACAAACCTCCTCTTGGTGTTTCTTCTCTTTGTTGAGGCGCGCAACAGCTTCGTCTTGGTTGGCCATTTCATCTTGGAGGGAGCGGATGTTGTGGTCTCGGGCCTAAATTTTCAAAGACTCATTTCCTTCAGCCCAATATCGCTAGGGCAGAGGTTCAGTGTTTCGTGGCTTACCTGCTTCTCGCTTTCGGCTTTTCTTGAGTGAGAGTTCGAGATCTTGGGCGTGTTTCTTGTGCTCAGCGATCTCCTGTTCCATCTTCTTCTTGAGACGGGTGAGGTCGCTGTTACGATCCTCCATATCAGCGAGGCGATCCTGCATAGAGTGCAATATCGAAGGTGATAAACGATGAGTGATGATGAATTTCAATGGATCCGTTCAATATTGACAGAAACCCTCTCGAGTATTTCATGGAAATTCGAATTCAAGTAGTTGATCTAATCGATTAGCGCTTTGTATACCTGAACTTCAGCGAGTTGTTTGTCAAGGTCAGCCTTGAGGGCGGCCAGTTTTTGATTGCGTTCTTCGGCATCTTGCAAGTTTGCCTTCTCCTTTTCCAAGTTCAAGAACAGCGCATTCTTTTCCTCGATGAGACCGGCCACCTAAAAAAGACGGGTTCAAGAATGCCGTGGAAGGAGAAGACCGTGGAGTACTGTAGTGGGTTATCAGTGTCCTGATGATCAACCAAAAGAACGCCTGACCTGAGATTCGAGTTGCTTCCTGCTCTCGTCTCCCTTGGCGATGGCTTCTTCGAGCTCTTTGATCTTGCCGGACAATTTCTCCATTTCCTCTGCCTCCTTTCCGGCCTTGAGCATAGGCTTGACCTGAAAAGCAAGCCCTGTTCTCGTACCGTGAAACGCGATACTCCGCGACCTTAGTTTACTTTTCTATTCAGGACCTTGCAAAAGTATGACTAAGAGCTAACCTTTCCGTACAGCTTGAACCATTCCCAGGTGCGAAGTGTGCACCATGAGCGGACGTTGCGCTGGACAATGAGCAATCCTACAAATATACATCAGCCTTTCTTCCCAATGCAAACTGACCACCAGGTTAAACTTACCCGCTTGTTGTTGTTGTCTTCTCCTGAGCTCTGTGAGTCCGAGGTACCACCTTAAAAGTACTTGTTAACAATAGGTAATTGCCTGAGTGATTCATGAAAACCCTACCTGCATCTGCTTTGGAAGTTGGTCATGATGACCTTGAGGATTTCGTCACGTTGGTCTTCAAGTCTGGCCAGAATACCGGCTTTGAAGAACACCTGGAAAAACTCCCGATGAATTACATCTCCCAGGTATTCCGGTGTGGTAGCTACGTGCCTTGGTGTTTCCGATCTTGAATTCTTCGTCCTTCAGGAGACCATCTGTGACCAATTTGTCCGTGATGGCAATCGAAGCTGCCTTAGTGTCCTCATTCTTGGCCACGTCAGCAGCGAGCACAGCGTATCTGAATTTCACTAGGCCCTTTTTTCACCCATGTAAAGGTAGGCCGACTACATACCGGTGTCTGAAGTCGTCGTAAAGCATTCTGTTCGGGAAACCTTTCCTGCAAATTCTGATACCCTCAAGTACACCGTTGCAGGTCAGCTGGTTAAGCACGAGAGCGGAGTCGATCAGACCTGAAAGCGGCGTGGCATGAGTGTTCTGTCTGCTTTTGGGAGACCTGATATATTTTGGCTAACCTGAAGTCTTCTTCTCGTTGGGAATGATGCAACGGATGAAGTGGGGATGGGTCTGGTAAAGCATGTTCATCAGGTTGTTCAGGGACTCGCGATATATCATGGACACAGTCATGAAGGAGGCAGATTTTCCCTGAAATGAGCGGCCGTTATATTCTTCCCTACTGAGGAATCAGTCGGGACGCTTGCCTTCTTCTTTCCACCGCCTGTTCCACTCTTTGCAGCTTCAGCGGCTTCTTCCTGGGTCTGGTAATCGGCCCAGATTTCGAGCATGAGTTTGCAGTCTGTGGAGTGAGCCTTGAGCAAGGCGACAGCAGTGTCGTTCAAGGGATCCTGAAGAAGGGTTCATGCTAAGGTTCTAGGGCTCTGAAGCTATTGTAACTTACCTTGTTCTTCTCGAGGAAGTTGGTAGCATTGTATCGCACAGTACCGGCGTAGTGAACAACTGCGAAGTGAGCCTCAGCCTGAAATGGGCGATGGAATTGAAGCGTCATGATCATTCACCTGAGCCTTATTCAGTACCTGTTTGCCCTTGGGTGGTCTCGGCTTCTGGAAGTTGGGATGTTTGCCAAGATGTTGGTCGTTCAGCTTCTGCACGTAGGTCATATCGGTGGCTTTCGGCACAATGCATTCCTCATCAAGCATTGAGATGAGACCAAGTGGCTGAAAAGGAGGTAGTTTTTCGGGAAATTTGGGGGTTCTGCGTCAGAACTCCGGAA